AGAGCCGGTGCAGTCGCAGCCCAGCCCAGCCAGATCCTGCACCCCAGTTCGCTCCTGCCCCCTTACCCCTGGCCAGACACCTACCCCCAGAGAGAGGGGGGTTGGCAAGCATAGCGAGCAGAGGGCACAGCCCCCTAGTATTTCTCCATTTCCCTTTTACAGGGTGCTGATGTTAGAATAAATTCATTATTGTCTGTAAAGCACCAGCATATCTGTGAGGGAAGGGGCCATAAGAATGCAGAGTGATATGCATACAAATCAATGGCATGATTCACCTCTGCTGAAAAAGAGATCATGGGTGACAGCAACAGCTTCAGCCCTTTCGGCTTGCTGGGTGCAGATTTAGTGCTTCGAGTTGAACTTGTACAAGACTTCTGAACTATTAAAGCGCTTAAGTGGCTGAGTTTTAAGTCAATTTGTATCTACGTGCATAAAATTTCAAGCAGTCAGCAGGGACAATAGCTATTTCAGTTCCCAAGTGCTCTTTGGGGCTGCTAAATTCCTGTGGACGACCTGTTTGCCCCATGCAGCATCCATTCCTTTGCAAAACTATTAAACTGTGCAAATGGAGAGTTGGCAAGGCTTAGTTCTAAGGATGTTGAAATGCAGTTATTGGGCTAATGGTATGCTGCCGCGAACAGGGGCTGCTTGGTGGCAGCTACCTCCTCTATCCCCCCTCAGCTTGCTGCTTCTGAGAGAGGCGGGGAAGGAGGGGAGAAGAGGAACAGGTGGCACCTCACAGAGAGTGCTGGGGGGAACCAACTTTTAAGCTGGCAACCCCTAGCACTGGCTCCTGTTCCCCACCCTTGCAGTCTCTCATAGAGGCAGCAAGAGAGAGGGGGCCACCGCAGGGAGCACAGGGCCAGTGAGGATTCAAGCAGTCCCGGCTGGCCTGGTGTTCCCACTGCAATGCTTCGGCCTTTGAAATGTACAAGAGCCTTGTGGGGCAGGGACTGCTTCAGTCCCTGCTTGCCTCATTTTCCCACTGGGGGGTAAGAGCGACTAGTCGAGTCTCGACTATCCAATAAACATAAGCTTATGCTTATCGGATAGTCAACTAGTTGCTTACATCCCTACTTAGTTCCTTCTCCCCTCACACAGTTCAGCAACTCCACAAAGTAGCAAACTGCAAGGGCCTGCCAGGTAGCTCAATGAAGCTTAGCATTATCACAGGAAGATAGAGACAGCCCCACCTCACTGAGCTCCTTAAAGACTTATGACTGTAGAAGCAAATCTGCTTAAAGCTCACTAACTTGGCTGAGCTATAAACCAATTTACTTCTAGAAGCTCCTGAGAAGGTTCACAGGAATGGGCTTCCCTCCTGTGAATCCTAAGCCTTCAACAGTAGAAAACAATTCACTTAACACAAATTTTCTGTGCAAACTCCTTGGAGAATCTAGGTAGAAAACTATGCCCTCCATAGAGAGAGATTTGGGCAGTTTCCATCTTTTACTTCTTCTAAAGGTGGGGGGGAGAGGGAAGAAAAGGCTCGGGATCATTATGTGTTCTGCACAAGTGTTATATTTCTTGGAGCAAACACAGCTATAAAGTTAACTAAGTTTATTTTGTGGGATTCAGACATACCTGCTTCTGCATATTAAATAGAGGTAAGAGCAGGAAAGTACAATAAGTAGCTTATTTTAAATCAACTCAGTTTTCTGCACAATAAGCTGCAATGCTATTTGAGCTTACTTATGCTAGTTTACATTTCCAGCTCAAACCTGGCCTTCATTTCAATCTAAGCAAGCTACAGATATTGTTGAGGGCTGGGGGGGGAATCTGTACCTCCTTTGCCAAACAGAAAATTTATGACTGGTTTAGTCAGGATTTTAAATGTTGCTTCACTATCACAGGGATTAGATATATTTTCAATAGCTCCCACAGTTCTAGGATTTTTCAGATAAGGGAGAACGGGATAACAACCTCCATGCAGTGCTGACATTGCTCAGTGCTTTAGCTAATTACTAGCAGGCTGGAATTCTGAGAGAAAAGGAGTTACAAACCTGGCAAACCCCCTGCAGCTGCTCAATGTGTCTCTTCCAAAGGAGCTGCCACCACATTTGCTAGCACAAGTCTCAGTTCTGACCCTGCTCAGATTTGCCACAGCCGGTAGTTTAGGTTACAGGGAAAAATCCGACATTCCACCTGACATACAGAAGCAACCTCAGGGGAGCAAACAGCTTTGCCAAGCCCCTAGGAAAGGTGAGGGGGAGACAGCTCCATGTTCCCACGGGGTGGGGCATCAGGAGGAAGGGGTGGAGCCAGAGAAAGCCAGGCATCACTACCACCCAGATTATGGGGCACCCTCCCTCCTCACCCCTAGGGCTGCCTGGAGCATCCCATATGGTGCTCTGGCAGCAATTTAAAAGGTCTGCCGCCACACTTGCCAGGCCTCAGGGCAATTTCCCCTTTGCCCCTCCACCCCCTGTTGGCAGGCCTGAACACACATGACCTACAAGCAAGTGAAAGGAGTCACCTAACCCCACACCTCATAAGTTTTTAAGTCCATCCAAATCCAGTCACCAGCTTTTAAGCCAATTAGGCTTGTGGCTGATAGATGAAGGGAGAAAAAAGGAAGCAATTTAGGAACTCCTCTCCTCTCCACCGGCAGTTCTTTTGTAGGGATGAGAATTATAGGCATATGCACATATAGGGAACAGGGACCAAAAATTATTCCAAGCTATGGGGAAGTCAGAAAAAGATGGAGACATAAAAGAGGAAACCTTCCTTCTATATTAGATAATATTCATTTTAGTGACAGTCCTATGCCTTTGTAAAGCCAGTGGGGAAAAGACACTTAGAAGTAACAAATTCCTACTGCCACTGTCCTTTGATTTCTGTGCCAAATTTGAAGACGTGTGTATGGGAGAGGGGGTCTTCGTTCTTTCCTTTGCCCCCCACCCATAATGAAAATAAAAGTCTAATATAAATCAAAATACCACGTTGGGAAATGCTGTAGTTATTAAAAAAAAGTAATAACCTGCATATATCAGCATTTACAGATATCCATTTAGTGATCCATCAGACATATGTCTGCATCAGTCTTACTATTCATTTTCTCCACGTAAGAAGTCATTGATCACTATCTTAAATATCAGCCACGAAAGCTTGGCATCCAACTCTACATAATATTTAAACATAAAATGTGCAACCAACACTGCTGGTGAAAAGAATCAGAACAGTTAATAGTGCTAACATAAGCTTTTATTTTACACACACAGTGCATTTCGTGAATTCTTTCCAACAGCAAGTGTTACCGGTGAAAGAAATCAAATATGCTGTACTTTCGTCTGAAGCACAGTATATACCTTCATTATAGCTGTTAACTCTATCTTTATAATACAAACAAAATTATTTTTCCTGGGTACTTATCCAGTTAAACAATCTCCCCCAAATACAAACTCTTCTCTGTAGCCTGAAATTAATAATTTGCCTAAATGCAACTCTGACATTTGATAATCGTTCACTAATCAGGACTTCTGCATCCATTTTTGAAAAGCACAGACAAAATGGGTTTGGGATCACAAGTCTCACCTCCATTACCTCCTTGACTGATTATCAGCTTGACAAAGTAGTCAATAATCTTTTCCATCTTAGGACCAGTCCTGTCAGATCTCCATTTCTATAGCACCAATAAAGATTAAGCCTCTTTGGTGTGGGCAACTGGAGGTAAGGGGTGGGATTTTAGTTAAATAATTCATTCTAGATGGCTCACTGTCTTTTCTATATCTTTTTAATCTTTGCTCACAAGCTGAGATTGAAGAATTGTTAAGCCTTTGTTCCCCTTAGAACTCAATTTTTGTTTTAACAGGAAAAAGGGAGATTCTGCATTGCATTGGTGCTATATGCATATAATTTATGAAGACTATTATGGTGAAAGGTAGAATAAATGTAACATTGTAAATAGAAATTAAATAAAAATTTACATCTTTTGCTTTTCCAGCTGCCATGCTTCACAACTGTCAGTATTAAAGAGTTATAAAAACAAAACCACAAAACAACTGCTACAGAAAAAGAAAAGGCCAGGCCTAATGTTTCTCAAATGAGGCATTACATTAAGGATGTTAAGTAGCGAGTAAATGACTAATTGTGTACTCGATACAATGACTAATTGTGTACTCGATAAGGGGCAGCTGAGGCTCTGAGGTTTAAATGTAGTAGGAGCCGGGCATACAAGGAGCCCAGCTCCTACTACATTTAAACTGCAGAGCCATAGTGGGGGTAGGTCCAGGACCCAGCAAAAGGCAGGACTGATGCAGTCCTGGCTCGTGTCAGATCTCCGACCGCTGCGGCTCTGCCTTTTAAGTGTAGTAAGAGCCGGTCAGCTCTTACTACATTTAAAAGTCAGAGCCTCAGAGCTGCTGCCTCCCCTGCTCCCCACCACAGAGACGGTGCTGGGGGGAACTGGCTTTTAAGCCGGCTCCTGCCCCCCCCCCTTCCGTTGCTGCCTCTGATATAGAGGCAGCAAAGGGGGGGAGGAGGGGAATGGGAGTAGTTGACTTGACTACCCAATAAGCCTAGGTTTATCAGGTAGTCGACTAATCAAATATTCTTTAACATCCCTGCATGTTAACACAGGAAAATAAATTGGGTAGCTACATGCCATGTGTTTAGAAATTCAGCAACTGGCATCAGAGCCGGCCCAAGGTATGGGCCAGCCAGGCTACCGTCCAGGGCGCCCTATTATAAGGGGCGCCACGTGGGGCTGCCGGGTCAGGCGGGGGCACGCATGCGCCGCGCACCTAGGGCAGGACCACGCATACGTCGCATTCCCGGGGGCGGCGCCACACTCCTGGGGCGCGCAAATGGCTCGGGCCGGCCCTGACTGGCATGTCAATCTGGAATTAAAAGCAGCCTAAGAAAAACTTCTTGCTTACATGTATAACTAAGAAAATGACAAAACTTAAAGAAAAAAGATACTCTCTTAGCTATTCATTTGAAAACAACATAAAAGACAAATGGTGATAGATTCCAGTTCATTAAGTTTTAGTCATACATACTCTGGAGCAAATTTGTCCAGCCTCTTGAAGAGATCATTTTTCACTTGCAGGTTCTCCACGATGGCCTCAACCACAAGATCAGTGCTGTGTACCACTGATACTGGGTCTGTGCTCACTGTTAGGTTACTTAAGGTCTTCTCAATGAACTGAGCAGCAGCCTGAAAGGTTAAACAGAAGTCACAAAACCTATTTCCAAAAGGTTTAATTTGTGTGTTATGAAAGTTCTTGGTCAATTTGCTTCATTGATGACTTGTCTGAGCATCAAAAACATTATGTGTTATAGCTTGCACTGTATTTCCAGATCATTTAGAAAGCTTTAAGTACATGCAAATATTATACTTACACAGATTAACTAAACTTTCACAGCAACTCAAGTCTTCTCACAAGCAAGTAGGAAATCTTTTATTTCATTCTTTTAGAATTACTTTTCTCTCCCCCACCCTTCATTTCAACCTTCAAAATGAGTCACAGCAAACAACTGACTTGTCACTTCAATATTTTCCAGAAGAATCTTGACCTGCCTTCAGTGAAAATGGACTTCTTCAGTTTTAAACCCTTATATTGTTTTTCCTTCCATAAGGGAGCTATCTGGTTTCACAGCTCATTGTTAAAATCATAGCCCTTCGCGGACACCTCAGGAGATGAAACGGCTTACAAGATACATCCGCTGAAATAGAGTTCTACTGGGAATGGGAACGAAATTTTGAATCTCTCTTGTGACCTTCAAGACTATTAATCACTAACACAATTTATGAGAACAGATGAAAATACAAAGGCAGGCTTTTTTAACCTGAGAGAATGGAGATGCGGTACAGCTAAAAACAGACATTTGCATACTACATTTTGGGGTTTGAGATTTTGGGATTTTCCACACAGGGAAATTTACCTGCATAACTACTATATTACAGGCAGTCCCCGGGTTACGTACAAGATAGGGACTGTAGGTTTGTTCTTAAGTTGAATTTGTATGTAAGTCGGAACTGGTACATATTGTAGGGGAAACTCTAGCCAAACATTTCTCCAGAGCTCAGTTTTATTCTCCCACACCTCACTTCCCTCAGGGTATTATTCTCAAGCTGAGGTGTCTGTTGAGAAAAGCGGGGGGGGCACTAGCTTCACGTCTCCCTGGTCTGCTGGGGGGAAGCAGCTAGTGCGGGGTTGCCTCACCCCGTTTTAAAGTAGGGATCCAATGTAAGTCGGATCCATGTAACCTGGGGACTGCCTGTACTGTTATTATATGGTGACAGTTATGCTGGTATAATTCATCATGTAGACACTTATAATGCCTTTTCCCAATTTCATCTTATATTATTTTCAGAGCCACATAAGCTAAAGCTTTTTGTACACTTGCAGCATTAAAGCGCTGCTTTGGCTTCGTTACCACAACAGCACTTTAATGCGACAGTGTGGTTGTGACAACAGCGCTAGGAGAGAGCTCTCCCAGCAGTTTAGGAAAACCACCTCCATGAGGGGCATAGCTCCCAGCTCTGGGAGCCTTTCTATACTGGCAAGTCATTGCACTGAAACTTGCTGTGCTCAGGGGGTGATTTTTCACACCCTTGAGAAAGTTTCAGCACAGTAACTTGCCAGTGTAGACAAGCCCTAAGTCAGCAAAAGGGAAAAAGCACTCTTTCTGGAATACAAATGTCTACACAGGGAGTTATACCACCATCACAGCTGTATAATTATACTGGTATTTTTGTGTTCATATATTTCCCCATGTATGCAAGGCCTTACTAGACCCGCTAAAACGAATGCCAGAACAACCATCTCCGGCGTGACAAAAGAAGACATGCCCACAATGTCTATGTCATCTCCACAGAACCCTGGCATCTCAGTGTCTGTGAACCTGTCTCTGTGGTTGACCAAAGCCTACAGAATAACGGAGTAATAAATATTCTTTGAGGTTGACATGAATTTGTTCCTTGTGGAGGGCACCTTATGGATACATGGGTGCCATCAGTAGCCTCAATGCAGATTGGAAAGCCCACTCTTTCAAAGTCACCAATTATTTCAAGCACGTTAGTTATACCCACCACCTTTTGGGTAAGCTGCAGTCCTGCTACAAAAGGGAGAACAGATGTCTGCTGTAAAATGCAAAGCTATACTTCTCCTTCCCCCAAGCAGCAACTAAAGCAAGTCTACCTGTAATTATTAGGAATGTTAAAATGTAATAGATTAACTATGTAACCACTGAAATGTTCAGTGGTTACATGCATGATGGAAGTCAGCTCCCCAAGAGTCAGTGCACGCCTGCCACCCTGCTTTCGGGGAGCCAACTGCTGCCCCAATACAGGAGCCAGCTCCCTGCGCATACTGGTTCCACCTGCCACCCCATGCTGCTGTCAGAGGCAGCAGCGCGGGGTTAAAGACAGGTCCCTGGGAGCCGGACCAGAAGCTGCATAAAGCCATGTTGCAGTTTGGGTAACTGATAAGCTTGCAGTAACCCATTGACATGGCTACACTCTTACATCCCTATTAATCATAGGCTACGTCTAGACTGGCCCCTTCTTCGGAAGAGGCATGATAATTTCTAACTTTGGAATAGGGAAATCCGCGGGGGATTTAAATATCCTCCGCAGGATTTAAATAAACATGGCCACCACTTTTTTTCCGGCTTGGGGAAAAGCCGGAAAAGAGCGTCCAGACTGGCGCGATCCTCCGGAATAAAGCTTCACTTAAATCCCCCGCGGATTTCCCTATTCCAAAGTTAGAAATTAGCGTGCCTCTTCCGAAGAAGGGGCCAGTCTAGACGTAGCCATACTGTTTAAGGAACCTCAATCTTGCAATCTCTGCTTTTCGTACAGTACTTTACTATGGTTTAAAGAAATTTTACAATTAGATATGGATAAATAATATACATGTAAACTTTGGACTTTAACCTTAGTTTTCAAAGACTTCCCAACTTTTGAGGTCAATCTGTCGTTTAAGACTACAATCTGAGGGGGGAAAAGACCCACGATGCACCAACTTTCTCTACCAAAAACTCCAAAAATATTTGAACTTCATATCTTCCCAGCTTTTTCAATGCATTTTTATACTATTCTAGCAATCTGATGCTCTTGCATGTGTGCAATAACTGCCAACAATCACATTAAAATAGTAATTCTATCACATTCAATAAAATTTGTCCAGTGGCTATAAATACCACAATGTCACCTCAGGCTTGTCTGTAAACATCTTCTTTGACATTCTTTTCAAGCTATCCTCAATCCCTTTCCTGGAGGTCTTCAGGATTTCGTCTGTCTGGTCCACTAACACCACAGTGTGACCAGTTGCTGCAGCGACCTGAGAAGGGGGAGTAGAGATAAGCTATGAAGAATGTAAAACACACAAGTCAATTGGCCTAATAGGAGGAAAAAATGAAAAAGGGTGAGGAGAGAAAAATTATATTTAAGCAGTTACAATAGAATAAAAAGAATGGAGTTCATATCAGATCACCCTGATTTTATATTTGGCTCCTAGATATTGGATCACCTACAAATAATATTTAAAAAAGACACTGTCAGTTTAAAATTTTAAACGCCAAATGATCTTATGTTACAATCAGGTCAGATGATTACAACTCAATCTTTAAAAGTCGGCTTTTTATTATATATGTTACTTCATTGCTTATTTACAGTGATGTTGGAGCCACATCGGTCTGAGGCTATATAAGAGACAAGATAAGCAAGGTAATATCTTTTACTGGACCCTGTTGGTAAAAGGTACAAGCTTTCGAATTTCACAGAAACCTTCTTCACATCTGGGGAACGAAGCCAGAGGCTATGTCTACACTGGCGGGTTGTTGCATGAGAAGTATGCAAATGAGGCTAAGCGTTGAATATTGCCGAGCCTCGTTTGCACACCTAATGAGCAGCCTTTTTTGCAGAAGAGGCTCTTGCGCTAGAAGGAGCTGTCTACATTGCCCCTTCTTGCGCAAGAAAAACCCTTTTGCACAATGCCGTTATTCCTGAAAATAAACAGCCAGACAAAAAAGGGACTCGCCACCCTTCCCCCCCCCCAAAAAGTGTTTTTTTAATGGCATAAATTCCTAATAATAATAATAACAACAGTAATTTATAATACATTCTTAATAAATATCACCCAAGTTATTAATAAATATCTTATAAACTTCTACTTTTTCCCTCTACTGCCATGTCTCCTCCCTTTGCTCCATCAGCTCCCCTGGTGCCTGCTGCCCCCCAACCCCTCACCCTCCTCTGCTGTCCTGACTCCTTCCCTTCTCATTGCCCTCAGCCTTCCTGAGACCTGCCCCCCTCCACCAGCCCTTCTCTCCCCCCTGTGCCCACTCCTCCAGTAGCCCCACTCTGAT